TTTCATACTACAAATATATCTACCTTCTACATTGCAATACTAAATCTAGAAAAGATCTGATAGCCTACTCTAGTAGAGTTTGACCTGAGTATAAATTAGTCCTAGCTATGAGTCTCAGTAATAATTTATATAAAATGTTTTAATTAATGTAATACCAAATTGTTCAATAAAGACTAAGACTAGGCCTTACTCATAAAAAAAAAAAATAAAATAAAAATTTAATATTTGGTGATGATAAGCATAAAGTACTAATTGAAGAGGATATTGCAACATTAACTGGAGTTAGAAATAAATGTATAGCTATACTTTCTTCAGCAACACTATATGCAAGTAATCATAACTTTACTAAGTTATCTTTAACATTATCAATAATGCTATTAATTACAATACCTAAGGAACCTACAGATTTATTCTATAATAGTCAAGTTTTTGTTTCTTATAAAAATACAATTTTTTAACCTAGTTTAGCTCTTTGACATAGTACAGAATTTTATAATGACTTAAACTATTACTATAGTAATTTTTTATTTGAAATTTTAATTATTTATACTGATGATGAGCCTGACCACAGATGCATATTTGGTTCAGTTCAAATTTCTTTAATATGTCTTTTTCTCAAAAGTAATTTTAATATATTAATAGCTGCTAGAACAGCACTATATCATAGCTGGGCAAATTCAGCAAAAAGAATTATATCAATAGTTAATCTTGCATTACAAGATGTAGCATTATAGTGCAATCAAATAAGCAAAAGTTCTAAATTAGAATTTTATAGCTTAAAACTATAAAATCAATTTGTCAAGCATTAAAAAAAAATCTTAAATTAAAAGAAGAATTATTTATATCAATTGAAGATGTTTAAAAAATTTTGGATAAAAGAACACAGTGATTAAAGCTACATGATAATTATTTTCTTACTGAATATACTGCTACAAATATAGAAATTGAGCAATTTTTTGAGGTAATATATTATATTAAAATACTGTTAAATCTCTATAAACTGATATACATAGCAAACAGATTTTATATTAGTATTAAGAGGTTGTTAAATTTAAAAATATTATAACTATTAAATTTATATGACAAAAATCAACTTGATGAATTAATTTTTTATCAAATTATTGATTTGAACAGAATTAGTTATAAAAGATTTAATAATATAATACAGTATATAAAATTTGAACTAAAAAGTATATGAGTCTTGTGTATAGCATACATATAATTTGTATAAATAATTTTAAAATTTTATGTGCTATATATATATTTTAGTATTTAATAATAATTATTGTATACTATTTAGCTCAAAAGTTCATAAATTGTATACATATTTCAAGAAACTTTTTAAAAAATATATACTGAACACATTGTATACATATTTTACTGTATATACTAATATAATGTTATTATTAAATAAATAAATAAATATTTTATATTTATATTTTAGGCCATTTATATAATTAATTCAAGTCTTGAAAAAACAATAACTACATCAAATTTAATAAAAAAACAACAACTTTGTAATGAGTTTTTAAAATCTCATTGCCAAGTTTGAATCTATACATTTCAAGTTAAAAAAATATACTAATATAGAATGTCAAATATGCCAACTAATTCAAATACTACTTAAAAAGTTTGAAAATTTATGTTTTTTGCCTGATTCTGAACTTTTTACAGGTAAAATATTATAAAAATTATTCAGTTTTATTATATTTTATTTTTTTAAAGATTTTATTGTATAAATAAGAATTACTATAAAGAATTTGATGATATATATGAACAATCAACAAGTGAAGAATATTAATTAACAGAACAGAAAGTTGTAAATAAAAAATCTTAGTTTGGAGTATATGTAAATATAAAAATTCAACTTCTAGTATGCTGTGATTTTTGTAGAAAATTTTGCTATATTAATAGTAATATATATTTAAATGAGAATAATTTAGAAATAATTGCACAATATCTTAAAAATATTTATTATAGTTGTGAATCTCCAATTCTTCCTAATAATTATTTACTATTTGAACAACTTTATATATGTTAAAAACTTAATTGTGATTTATCTATTAAATAAAACTACTATTCTTTTTATATTAAGAATGTTAATTTGTGTTATTGGTATAGAGTAGAAGATGGTATTATTGAATCTTCTGAAGATTTAAAGTCTCAATTTAAAACTATTTATTCTCTTTGTTTTTATGTAAGACTAATGACTATGAATGGTTTACTTATACACCAATTGTATTTCAAAGCAAGAACAAAAAAGTTTATGTTTAATGTATATTTAACTTTATATAAAATAAATTTTATATTTCAAAATTATAAAAACAAATAAAAATTTTAATTTTGAAATATACAATCAATAAAATTTAATCTTTATTTGAATTAAATAAAAATTTATAAATATGTTTATTTTATTATATTTGTTTAAATTATCTTTTCTTTTATCACTAAATTTAAAATATTGATATTAACTAACTAATTAATTTTGAATGGCCTAATAATCAGAAGAATACATTCAATTTATTAATAAACATATTGGCTGAGTTTTTTGAATTATTCATATTCAGCATAGTGCATACTTGCTTTACAACTAGAAATTCAACATAGTATGCACTTACTTCATACCAGAAATTTAGCATGAGAGATATATATATTTGATTAGAACAAAATAATTGATATTCTCAAATGATTAGCATGTACCTTAAATATTCATAAATCAAATTATAATTAGCATTAGCATTAGAAAATAATATTTTATATATAGTATTTTAATTCAATAAGAGATATGACAAAAATTATAGTTAACAAATGTCAGTTCAAATCTGGCAGCCCTCAACTGGGACTATGATTATCATTTTATCAATTCAATAAAAAATACTACAAAAAAAAATTGAAAATCCTCAAAATCTAATGAACATATGTGATAATTCACATCAGGCCACTAGTATTTATGCTAAAAAAATCAACAATTTATTATAATTTCTAATTTAATGGTGCTTCAGGTTTTATTTTCATTCATCTTATATATGTATAGTAAACATAATATAGATTAACAGGTACAATAGTTAAGCCACCAGTATAAGGTGTAAAATGATATATGAAAAATAGGCAATGCATAACAATACATAATGAATAGAGTTATATAGACCAATCAAGTGCTGAAAATCATATATGCATATTAACTTGCCTGTAAACCATACACTATATTGTATATTGTACAAACTCCATTCCTGATATACCAAAAACTTACAGAGAAATAACCTTTTATATATTAGCAAAAAAAATTTCTTTTTTAATTTTATTATATAGTGTTAGACCCAGAACACATAATCAACAAATCACTAATTTCATCATAAAATTATTGTCATATGATTGTTAGTCACAATTCTGTCTCAACTAGGAAGATCTCATCAAAGTTAGAATCCCATACTTATAATGATTATAATGCATATATTACATATATTGATTATAATCAGTATAATCAATATATATGATATAAACACTATCATCATTATAAGTGCAATAATGGATATTAGCATCCTAACAATAGATAGAATTTTGCTTATAAATAACCTGTAATTTCGTCCTAGTAATAAGGTGGATTTTGACATAAGAAATTAATAAACACCCTAACATGCATACATTAAATAAAGGTTCTTCTGTGAGTGACTGTAGAGAACCATCATCATAATAAAATACTTACCCATAATATTAATAAATCTCACCCCTGTTAGTACAGTATATCCTGAAGTAGTGTGGAATACTGCAGTTTTAGAATAAGTAGAGTGATAGTCTCGACGTAGTGTAGACTATCCAAGATAAGCCAGACCCGAATCGAAATTGTTCGCCAAATCTACACGCCTTTTTCGACAGCAAACGTGCGAACGTTACACGAAGCCGACCTTCAATTAGCGACAGACTCGCCGATTTAGGGCATCTCAATAGCAAACTGACTCTAACCTTAATATAACCTTTAACACGAATTCAAACGCTAACCCTAACATAAATGAACTCTGTATATAACAACAAAATTGTCTTATTATATGTCACGTGAACTTCAGCATCAGCCATGACAATATATATTCAATATATTTTTTGCAAATATCAAATTTGTATATTCGGTATCTTAGTTTCAATATTATTAGATTTAGATATGTTATAGTTATATCCAACTACACAGTATATAACTGATTTATCTCCTGCAATCTATGTAACATAAGTTTCATGTACTTATTTTAGAGCGAAACCTTTATATTACATATTGTTTTTGACATCTAAGATTAAATAGGATAATACTTAATTACCTAAATTAAATAGATATATCTAGTAGAAATAAGTGCATGAAAAAGTTATCGAGATGGGTTGATCAGTGAATAAATTAGATATATTGTTTTGTAGATATATCTTTGCAATAAATGAAGTTGTAAAGAATTTGATTTAATTGTTTCTTTTTTGATTCAATAAAATTTGTCATTGAATGAAGCGCAAAAAAAAACTTAAAAGTTAAATCAAATTTAATTTCATAATTATTAGAATTACTAAATGATTCAAGAAAATTAATTTGTTTATTGCTAAAAGAATTATGAAATTTAACAGGAAAAGCAAAAGGAACTTCTTTAATAAGGTTTTTTTTTGCTAAAAAAAATATATTTGTCACAATTACAAGAAGTTTTGGAAGTTAAGATTGAACAAAAAGACATTTTAAGCACTCAAAAACATGTTCCGGAATAATAAATTTTAGCCATTAAAAATATTATTTATATATTGCTAGACTTTTAAAAAAATAATGACAAAGAAATCGGAATTTACTAATCATTAATTGTAATCGACTTCTATTTTTTTTATCTGCAAAATTTACAAAATTTTGCAAACCGTAATAATCAAAATTTCTATAAACTTTTCGCTAGAAATATTATTTAAGTTTTCGATCAACATTTATTTCGTAATGCAGCGATATAAAGAATAAACAAAAATAAGGCGCTTACTTTTTGCACAATATTTTATAGTAATTTTGCTATTTCTTCTCTACACAAACTAATTACCTCATATTCTTTATTTAGTTGCTGTTCTTTTCCTTTTAGATCTTCCAATTCTTTCCTCCAATTTTCAATTATCTTTTCCATATCTTTCAAAGAAGTACGGTCATCAATTTCTTTATGATCTCGATAAATACAATAAAACGACAAAGGAGAAGGTACAAGTTTGCAAAAGGCTTCTACAGCAGCTCTTACTGCCTTTGAACCGGTAGAATGTTCAATTTTTTCATCACTTTTTAAACTAACACCGGTTTCCATTTCTTCACCTAAAATTTTTTTCAGTACATTTTTAATTACATCAATTTTTTTTCTATCAATATTCTGTTCCGCATACACTGAATCTTCGAATCGTGAGCGAACTTCTTTGAATTTTCCAATAGCTTCCTTTAATTCTACTTGCGAATTTTCTAACAATTTACTTTTTTTTTTGTCATTGACAAGGCATTCTTCAAATAATCGATATGCTTCATTTTCCTTAAATATTGCAACAGAATCAGATCCTGCAACACTTAGCCAACCGCCAGTCGATATAATAAAACCTGGTATAAAGACAGGAGGAAACCATATTCCTGAAATTGCCAAAGCATTACCGCCTAGCATAGCAGCATGGCCTAAAGTATTGGTATTGAATCGTTGTTTCATATCTTCATTTAATTTTTCCTTCTGTTTTTCGACCTTTTCAATTATCTCTTCCCGTTGAATAACGAATTCTTTTAAATAGTTGATACTATTATTTAGATGAAAATCAACATTAATAATTGCCTCATTAGAGCCATTTATTATTAAATTAAATTCATCTATCATTTTACTATATTTAACAAGTAGTTCAGGTCGATAAACTTTTTGGCAAGTTTCTAGATGTGTTAACACTATTTTACGAGATTCTTCTCGCGATCCCTCTGCTATTGACCGATAACGACCTTCAATTGGTGGATTATCAACATAAATAATCATGGTATCAGCAAGCTGTTTTGATAGTCCTTTAGTTGCCTCACGAAATGTTTTACGATCCTTTTCACAAGTCTCTTTATCTTCGAATTTGGCAAAATTTGTGCAGACAATAGTAGTAAAATCAGTTACTTGATCATCAAAAATAGCTTTACTTAATAAATTGAAAGCTTCAACTTCTTCCTGAGTAAAACGACCACTAGTTACAAATAATATTTGATTTAAACCTTCACTAATAATATCAGTTTTGTCTTCTAATTTACTTAATATTTCACCCGTTGACTTGGATGAGTCAGCAATTCCAACTGTATCAATAATGCGATATTTTATTCCTTCATGTTCAAACTCTGTAGATTTTGGTTTTTCAGTTCCACGAATACGATTCGTATTTTCTTCAAATTCATTAGTTCCAGTTATAACGTTTGCTAAAGTGGATTTTCCTTTACCAGCATTGCCTATTAATAATATATTTCTAATTTTCTCCATGATATTGTACTTTATTTTATCTAGATAATAAAAGTTGATCCTCAAATAATTCGTTCTGAGGATGTAAGTTTCAGGTATCGCTAAAATTGATTATTTTTTTGTGATCTTTTTGAGCTGTAAATTATTTAAATCTTTAAATATACTTTTTTGGTACGTACATACGCACATATGATAATTCTTATTAGTGCAATCCCGATAGATGAGATTAATCAATAATTCACATTCTTATGCATTTGATAAATTTTTATCCGGCGGTATTATACCAACTTCATATTAGTGTGTCATCTTCCCCAGGATCGCCGTTATAATTTACTATCACGTGATAGTGTTTAAAAATCTTTGCCTAAATTAGGGTTTGTGTTTATAACGATAACAGGAGTAGATATTAGCAAGCATATAGTAAAATTGGGCAAGAAATTTTTTTTTTTGCTAGAGTGAAATGTGTTTTTTTATGCAAGGTTTTGAAAAATGAGCGATTTTAATCTATTAAAGCGCGACACGTTATTGCATGATCATCAAAATTTGACGGTGATCCTGGGGTAGTTTTAATGAGTCTTGAAAATCATTAGATATAATGTTTGATCATTCTATAAAGAGACAAGTCATTATAGTACTGAAATTCTCTTTTTGATTGCTATTAAGCATCAGCGGTTAGCGTTAGGTGTAGATTTATTTAGAAAAAAGAAATTATCCCATTTAAAAATTAAAACACAAACAAAATTCGTTTTAATAATAAATTAAGATCAAGCGTTTGATAATTGGTAAATTAATAAACTTAAATTTGCTGTAAATCTTTATTCGCAAATTTTAGTATAGAATCACTGTTATCTTTAGTATGTGAATGTCACAAGATAGGTTCCGTCTTCGGCAATCACTTCACCAACAAGTAATATCGCTACATGACTGACAATTCACTAATGATAATACAAAACTAATTACATGTTAAATTGCCATGTTGCGTAACATAGGCTAAATGACTTGTCGGTGAAATGATTAAAGTGAACCTTACCCAGTATTTGATATTCTTGCTATGGACCGAATTATTTATCTAAACTTATATTAATTCACAAGCCAGGTCCATCTGAGAGAATGGTTCAGACCGCGCAAATTAGAGCATGTAAATTATTAAATAAGTAGCTGCGCGACGTTGTCACGCAAAACCAGGAACGGAAGATGGATTTTCAAATCGAGTTGCAGATGAAACTGCTTTGTCATAAGTTTTTTGTTTGCTTAACTTTTATAAGTTTTATTTGCAACTTTAAATTAGATTAT